TACGGTAAGTTACAACATCCATATATAATCCGTGCTTTGTTTACACAGCTCGATTGAACCCAACTTAAACTTTAAAACAACCGATTTACTCAGAAGCGACCGCCAGTGCACTGGCGGAAACGCACAATCAATAAAGTTCAGTAGCCTGGACAACGAATAAAGCGCACATGTAGAGACTGGTGTTAGGTTCCTTAGGCATAATATTTTTCATTAAAAAAAACTGAAATTTCGACGAGGTATATTGTCATCTCCGTTATTTCCAGTGTACCTGTAGACGAAGTTAGTGCACACGTAAGCAAAAATAGTTGACTTGAGAAGAATATTCGTAATATCTCAAAACTGTTCTAACAATCCTTTTGTTAACTGTCTTTCAGGTTTATGTACAATGCGCATTACGAAAGCCTAATTATTTTTTTATTGTTAAGTATTATTAGTTAAAATGAAACGCTTAACAACTGGTGCGGTTAACAGTCTCTTTACTTTGTTCTGAATAAAAACTGTCAGGTAGAAAAGATGCTTTTCAAATTCATTGGTTGAGGAAGTCACCGAACTAAGTTCTTATAGAATCACACTGGTCACTGACTTTATATGGCATATAAATAACAAAAAATGTAATTACCGTGTAGTTTTCTACATATTAGCTCGGGATTTTTACTGAGAAAGTAAAATTATTTTCTTCGAATGCGGATAAAACCCTTAAATTTCAACGCATTCTTGAAATGTAGGCGAATAGTTTGTTTCTTTCCTTGTCCTCAGTGAATCAATATTAACGCTAGTTTTGTAGTTTATGTTTAAGACTTCAGTTAGCAAACAAATCAACATATGTTTTGGTAATTCATAATCAAGCCACTAAAATTACCTGGCGAGTAACCGTTTGCCTTGTGAATAGGCTTTAAATAGCCCTGGGAGAAGAGTTAGTCACATTCATTGTTTCCACGCCGCCTGCACTGATGGAATCAACATATTGAGGACGTTAGAGCTGAGGCAATGGGGGCAGATGTTTAGGGTTTCATTAAGTCATTTACATAATTTATTCATGGCGATAAAAAAGGTCTTACTTTTCCCGTAAGACTTATAAACCGATCACCTACTCTACTATATCACTTGAGTTCGCAGTGAGTACCTGAAGCTTACTATGCCAGAGCTACCAACAATAACGTTATCACCAACGGTCAGTCATACACCAAGTCAAAGGCCTGAAGGCCCGAGTTTTTAATGTTGGTTCAGTTGCTTATTGGGTTGGGCGTTATGCTACTCAAACGGCAGCCCACGCTCTGTTTATTACGCTCGAGTCACCTGAAAGTCTCATGCACGTTTTTGTCCGTCGACCGATCTGGATTCGGGGCTGACATAGGGTCCTTCACGTTTCGAGTCCTCAAAAGCATTCGTACGGCACTGCGCACTCAGTAATCAATTCGATCAGCAGACCGCCAGTTGGTCATCCCATGAGGTTTTAAGGAATCAACAACACCAAGATTGACCCCACACACACACAACGGAGATTAATCCGGATTGTGTGAGTCGCCGCTGAAACGCGTAGTGAGTGCATGTGAGCGCTGTCTGCACATCAGACAGCCCTATGTAGCCCACGCATGACCTTTATGGCATATGTTAGTTATGTTAGATGATGGCTGCTATTGTGTTTCCCTATTCTGAAATAAGGTTTTAGTAATAAAATTGTCCACTCTTGTCTTCTCATGTCTACATCTAACTGAAACTTCCGGCTGCTGTCCACTAAGGGTGGAAAATATCGTTGGTCAGCTTATAAAGGGACCGTTTCATCAGTTTAACTTCCCTTTAGGCATTAGTTTTGTAGAGGAAATGGGTACAGTCTTGGGATGGCCTCTGAAATTTAAGCGCAAACTGGGAATAAGTATATCCTTCGAAAGAACTTTGCCTAAACTCTGCTGAAATCCCTTTCCTACTGCAGGATAACTGTGTAAAAGCCCATCCACGCGTTTCATCTATGTGGTGACACCACAAATCACAGTTTCGGGAGATTCTATCCATTTTCAGGGGCCCTTCATGAAATAGTGGCATCGGTTATCTGTACATGTGCTGCCAATGGCTACTGCTTCTGCAGCTAAATGACTTATATCTTAAGTAAAGATTGTCTCAGCAGTAACTTGGGGAAAATATTGCATCAGTTTGCTGGTTCTTTTAGAATATTCCTATCAGATATGCAGTTTTCCGTGAGCTGATGATGGTCTGCTCACTAGCATTACTGTTATGCAATCAGGTACTTTGCTTGATTTGCTATGCAGCAAATCTGCTTTGGTGATTAGCAAATGCTGTACTACGGGGAAAATTCGCTATCGTTGAGGTGTTGGTGTTACTTCATTTTGACTAACTTTCTCTACCTGTCATAGATGAATTCAAGAATTTATCTGTTTTTCACAAAAGTGATTCTCACCTAAATCCGTAAGACGTTTGAACCTTTCGTAATTCGTGAAAAGTAGACCTTGGCCTTCTTTATAGCACTAATGTAAATGTCTCACACTACCCTACGGTTACCTACGATTAAGGATTCTCCGCAGAATCCGGAACGTCAGGAGAATAAAATTCTTGTTCCGGTGATTGCATCTTCTTCTTCTGCTGAACTAAGGTAAATATTCTGAAGGAAGGGGAATTTCATTTATCAACTTTTTATATTTCAATTTGGATTTTTTATAGTCAATAAGCATCGGACTGCAAATATTATGCTTTGGGTTGTTTTTCCCCCCACACAGGTTGATGTTGAGGAATGCGATTCAAGTGCACAAGTGGCCTGTGAGAAGTTCCGTGGGTTCCTTGAAGTCACTTTCCAGCACATGGTGAAAAAACCAGCCAAAAAGAAGAAGGGCGTTCGCACGGTCGGGAACAAGAAATTCGTTATGGAACTAGAAACCGTCCTTCTGTGCCAGCTTCTCATAAAACTTCCAAAGCAGCCTTCAGATCAGGCCGGAGCCTGCGTCCTCCAGCCGTTCACTCTCGTCTCTAAAGGTCTGCTGCCCTTAATAATGTTTTAGAAGAAGGCCGTCTTTTAAGTGCACACTCCTTTTAGTGTATAAAATAGTGAGTATACATTAAATATTACACTTAGCAGGCCGAGTTCCGTTTAGAAGGAATATACGGGGAACAACAGAATGAGGGAATCGTTTTGCTCAGACTCCCGAATTGTTGACTTTGGTGGCTTAGTCCTATGCGGTAGCAGAGTCCGAAATCTTACACAGCTTTTATGTGTGAATTAACGTGACGGAAGGGACCATTTTGTTCAGGCGTGCGTGCGTTGCATCGCGCGCGGCATGATTGGTTGTCACTATTCTATGCGCGCACGTGTGGGTGGTGCTGACGTCAGTAATGCGACCAGAGGTCAGCGTGGCTGGGATTGGGCGAATTTATTTTACAACATGCGCGCTGATGGTGCAAGCAAATGGCCTTCACACAATGGGACATCGAACAAAGACGTGGGTAGCAGCACGATGGTGGGCGGCCATATGATTAATTCGTCGGCTGTTTCAGTAAAAAATAACTACTTTATCCAGTCATTCTCTGCTGCATTTTAGACGCTGTTACTGAGGATTATTTGGAGGCTCTGGCCAGGAAACTGCTTGGTGACACATGGAGACGATTAGGACTCGCCCTGAACATGACAAAGACGCAAATTCAGGCAGTTGGTGGTCGTGCTGAATCGGCCGGAGAGAATAAGGCCATTACGATGCTCCACAGTTGGGTTAAGAATCTACCACTTGAGGCTGATAGGGTAAGTTTGTGAGGACATTATTGACTCTTCTATTGTACAGATATTAAGGGACACATCAGAAGGATGCGGTCAATCTATTGTTATAACACAGCAACTAAGAATTTACGCTACAGGCCTGTACCTTTATATGGTCATGAAATAAATAAACTATGCTGGTTGGTGGACAGATGTAGCATTGTCGTTGTTTTCAGGGCCGATGGGGGAAATTGAGGTCAAAATGTGCGTTTCTAGGCTAATCGGCGGCCAAGACATATGATAAGGTGCGCACAGTTGAATTAGGGACTAGTCCGGTTCCGGGGCGGCCCGTTTCCGAGGCCGATGATAAGCCGTGTGCGGTTGTGTTAGCAATTTTCGACCATGGTAACACTGCGGCGCTGTTACAAAGTTATTTTGCGCGCACAGATCCGGTCTGCGTAGCCTAATGGTGGCTGCTTCTGCCGTAGCCGACAGAAGCTTTCCAAGTAATTTTGAATAGCTGGAGGGTACCTTGTAGATTACTCGGAAAACCTATCTGGCATCCAAGAGATGGTTTGAGTCTACCTTGTGCGCTAAAATGGAAATATTAATGCTCTGTACTTGTCCCTGCTCTAACCATGCCGTGAGGTTGTCTCGTACCCTTTTCGACAGACGCCGGCTCGTGCGACCAATATATTCTGCCTCGCAGGAGCAGGTGAATGAGTAGATGCACATAGAGATGGTCTGGGTTGGCAGTTTGTCCTTAATCGTCTCTATGGGTGAAAGTCGCTAATACAACCGCACACGGCTTATCACCGGTCTCGGAAA